CCAAACCAATAGAGGAAGTTTAAAATTTAATGAAAGTTACAAAATCAGGAAAACTTTCACCGACAAAAAAGTATTTCATTCGGTCGTTCGAACACACCTGAAAGTCGCTGTCTGTAGAAGATGCGGAATATTAAGTTGCAAGTTACCATCATAGATGTCAGGCTATAGGCAGCTCGAAAGAACAGAGGAAGTATTGAATAAATGTCAGCTATTTTAAAGCAATGCATTTTCTATAATTGCATCATTTTGTTCAATAAACGCTACTTCCATTTTGGAAAATGAAAACGTTGTTTTTTGATGATGTATGTTTCCGGATAATATTGTCTCGTGGACCTTAAACTTAATAAAAATCCCATCATTACTTCCCCTAGCCTCCTAAGTCTTAGATAAGAGTTTACAACCTTTTGATAGGCTTTATACCGTAATTAATTAGCCGAAGTTAATTCCACGTATAATCTCGTAGGTCCTAATGTTTGAAAGTACTTCGGGAATGAGACAAGTAACAGTAGGTGATGGAACTTACTATACCTCATTCACCTCACAGGTCTCTTAGCACATCAGTCGCAAATTTTTACTTCAGATTTGTTAATATATAATTACACATAAAAACATTTATACACATATTATGTAAAATATGTACTTTCACGCAAATGCTCAAACAAGCCCATATGTACTAAAGTATAACTAAATATATACACAAATTCGTAATCGGCTATGGCTGGTGTGGTTGACAAGCTGTTAACCCTTTCGGAAGCACGCATTAGCTGTCAAGTCCGCATTACTATCGCAGCAAAGGAAGCATTACAAGACTGACTTAGGAAATTATAGTGTTTGTATAAGCTCCCAATAAAATTAAAGTTACCAAGCTTTTGAAGAGAGACACGGAGACGATTTAAGAGTGAAAGCAGACAATAATTATTATAACAGTAAATAAACGATATTATTGATATTTTAACAATGCTTGAAAGTGCTAACGAAAAGCGAGACGATTACTAAATCGTTCAGTTTTTGGATAATTCTTAACCTGTACCAATAGCCTATACTAATTGCAGAAGCCCTACAACTTCAAATTTTCAATTTTCAACAGAACCTCGGCCGCGTGCTTTCTTTCCTTACACATAGTATGCTATATTTTGGTTATTATGGCACATATTTACACACATATATAAAAGACTCGGACATTTCAGTAATTTATAACGATATTTACTGACATTTTCCGTATTAAATTGCTGCACATAGCCACGTGTAATTAGATACTGAAGAGTTTATGTGTCGGACATTTCATGCAAACTCTAAATGCGAAAGTAAATATAAACTCCCTAATTCAGCACACATCCATAAACTAGATGAGTGTGTGCAGAGGCTACTTTTTAACGAGCAAATTTTATTAAATTCGGGCTTTGACAGGCGCATCAATTTCAAATCGTATTCCAAATAAACCGTTCACATAATGGGTTGCTCATATGGAAAGCTTCCCAGCAAAAAGGCATAAATTGCTTCCGTCAGCGGAAACTTCACTGAAAATAAATAGAAAAAAAATTTAACGCCAAGCGTGTTTAATAATTTGGTACGAGAGAGATTTTTTTTATTAGGTGTCGGTAAATATTTCGTCAATGGCTGGAATGTAGCGGAAAGACACGCCAGTTATGTTAACATGCTGTCGGAAGTGTTAGGAAAAACTTCTGCTAAATACTGCAGAAGCGTCAAATTGGCAGCGACGAGTGGATTTCTAGCAGCGGAGATATCCAGTAATAAGTTTATATATTATTGAGAGTATTTAAGTCTACTGCTGAGTAGCATAGTGTTGAGTTCATAATTGCACGCATTCTGATGAAATATGGTACGACAAAGCGAAGCATTTTCTGAGACCAGATTTTGACGTATTGATATGAGGAAGCAATATACAGATTCGAAAAACAAGCGTAGTGTAAATTACGAATTCACATTTCAATTTGATCACAGTAGTATATGCACTACCGCAAAGCGAAGGTTCAACGACATCACGGAAAACTTGGATCGTTCCGCCGCGGGACATTTACTGAAATATTTGCCCTTAATAAATCTCATCTTGACGCAATTTTGTTCGAACTATGTAGTCCTTAGGATCACTTTTATAGGGGTTCTAGGACCACAACGTATCAGCTATTAGCTGTCCAAGTGATATCGTCTCGACCTATTTATCCGGCCTTTCTTTATTTTTAAACACTGTTACCTTTTTAATACCTTACAATTCTTCTTCTTTATTGGTGTAGACACCGCTTATGCGGTTACAGCCAAATTTACAGCAGCGCACCATTCGTTCTTCCTTTTCGCTCTTCTTCACCAATCTTCCTCTGCTTCTCCGGCGGGCAATGCGTCGAATACTCCCAGAGTTTGAGTGTTTTCATCCATACGGTCCACATGATCTAGCCATGGGCAATGCGCAAACGACGGGAATAATGAGTGACTTATAGAGTTTGGCCTTTGTTCGTCGAGAGAGAACTATACTTTTCAATTGCCTACTCAGTCCAAAGAAGCACCTGTTGGCAAGATTTATTCTGCTTTGTATTTCACGGCTGACTTTGTTGTGGTTGTTAATACTGGTTCCAAGATAGACGAAATTATCTACAACTTCAAATTTATGACTGTCAACAGTGACGTGAGCCTAGTTGCGAGTGCGACGACTGTTTCTTTGATGACAGGAGATATTTCGTCTTACCCTCGTTTACTGCCATTTGCATCGCTTCCGTCTCAATGTATCAATATTATAGGCGTAGGCCAATAGTTGTACACACTTAGAAACGATTATACCTCCTTTATACAGCTCGAATATTTTCTCCAGTAGTAGATTGAAAAAGCCGCCTTGTCTGAAATTTCGTTTGATCTGATCCTGACGAAACTTTTGGTATTGCTCAACGTCAGTTTACACAGGCGTATTAGTTTTGCGGAGATACCAAATTCGGACAGAGCTGCATAAAAACTGTCAAAAGCAGCTTTGAAATCGACAAAGTGATGTTGCGTGTCGATCCTCTTTTCACGGGTATTTTCCAAGACTTGGAGGATGGCGAATCTCTGGTCGGTTGTTGATTTTCTAGGCATGAAACCACACTGATAGGGTCTAATCAATTTGTTGAATGTCCGCTTTAATCTTTCACACAGTAGGCTCGATAAAAAATTATATACTATGTTGAGGAGGGGTAACCTACGGTATTTAGCGCAGGTTGTGAGGTCTCCATTTTTGTGGATTGAGCAGAGCACACTTAAATTCCAATCGTCGGGCATGCTTTCGTCTGATCGTGTTCTACAAGGAAGCTGATGCATTCTCCTTATCAGTTCTTCACCGCCATTTATGAATAGCTCGGCCGACAATCCATTGGCCTCCGCCGTTTTGCTGTTCTTCAGACGAGTAATTGCTATTCGAAATTCTTCATATTCGAGAAATGAGACATCCATTCTATCGTCATCGATTGAGGACTCGGGTTCACCATCTTCTGATATTCAGTTTTCACTGCCATTCAGTTGGCTGGAGAAGTGTTCCCTACATGATTTCAGTATGCTCTGGGCATCAGTCACTAAATCATCTCTGGGAATTCTATAAGAGCAATGTCTAAAAGAGTTTATCCAATTTGAATCTAAGTCCAGTTCCTTTTTGAAATCTTCAAACCTTCAGTGGAATCTTTCCTCGTATAATGCCAAAGAAGTTCCAATTTCCTCAGGACTCAATGTATTGATGTACATATTGTTATTTTTGTTTACGTTCTTCCTCCAACAGTGCCTTCCAATGACCAATTAGTGAAGACTTATTTTTTAATATTAAGTGTGAGCTGAACACATATGAACTAATTTTGATACCTATTACAGTGAATATTGAGTTTGCAACACCCATAAAGAAACGTCGGAGTCCCATAAAATAAACATACAATATTAGTGATAATACATCTGTAGCTGTCACACAAACTGAAAAATTATAATCATGTTTTTATAGGCGGGGTGCAATAGCGCCTTGTGAAATAAGGCCTTTAAGGCTTATTACACTATTGAAAGTGAAATAAGACCTTTATTTCAAAAAACGCTTTATTACACTTCGAAAGAGAAATAAAGCCGTAAAGGCCTTATTGCCCTTCATTTTTTTTTTTAATGAAACAATAATATTCTAATTCTTTTTGTATTTTATTGAATAGTTACAAACAAATTTCACGTTAACCAAAGTTAATAGAACATAAATAATTCAGAAAAAGAATTTCATATTAAGAAAAATTAATGGAATATTAATAATTCAAAAAAAGAACCCCAAATCAAAATAAACGAAAGAAAATTAGACAGAAATGTTTTTGGCTTCTTGARCAATGGTCCGACACACTGGACATAAAGTTGACACAGAATTCCTTTTTTTCCGCGTCCAATTTTTCATAACAAACACTGCAAATCTTAAAATGACTACATGGCAATAACAATATATTTCTTTGTTTTTCATAACGAATAAAGCATGTCAAAGTATTTTCAATGGTGCAAGGCAGGACAAATGGTAAGGTATCAATTACTGGAGCAACCTCATCGTTCTCAACACCTGTCGTCGTCGTTATACTATCTTGTTCCAGAATCGCGTTCAAAGACACCTCGTTATATACGTTATAACTTAACTGGCTAAGACAGTCGTTCACACTGATTATACCATTTTCCAAATTTCTTAAGATAGTTTTAATCAAATTTTCTCGCGTTTTTTGCCTTTTTAATTTTGCTACACATATTGAAATACTGCCGTCCAATGATTTTTTAAAATCAATTGATTTTGTCACATCTACATCTAGTAAATGGTGTATGAATTTATAAAAACTTCCGTTTTTCGAAAGGTATTTACCCAATTGCCCATGGAAYGATTCTATTAAGCTTGTAGTTTTATTGGATTCTTTATAAACGGAGAATTTCGATGCGCCTTCCTAAAAAGAAAGAAGTTATATATGTACATACATATGTTATTTTTTAAAACGGTAGTGTTAAATATTTTATGGAATATACCTTTTTCATCCACTGACTCTCGAAATATGCTATGAACTGTTCAAAAATGCTATTTAAATTATAACTCATAGCCTAATTTTTCAGATTTAGATACCCAATTAATATACTTTTTACAGCGGCAATATTAGAAATTTGCGAAACAGTTTTTTCACATCATTATCTTTATTTAATTTCGACATGAACTTAGGAAGTTTTGAAGCATTCCTTCGAACAGCTTGTGTAAAATGAAACCAACATGTCTTTAATTTTGTTTGTGGATAAATCTGTGATAATGCTTCTCTTAAGCCATACTCAAAATCCGTGGTGAATGTTGTGGGCTTCATGTCAAAAATATTACTTTGGATGTATTGTAATACATGGATATATGCATTCAAAGATTTGTTTGACATTAAAATGTAGATAAAAGGAAATGTCTGAAAAAAAGATATACAAATATTAATTTAACCGCAACAATATTTAATTTTTAAAAAAATATACTTACATGCTCATTATGAGCAATATGAAATATTAGCAGCTGTTTAAAGCTATTGGAACTACTTATCGATACTACACCAAAAGTCCCATCTATTAAATAATGACGTGGTTCGCCAGTAGGCATATCCATTATTGAGTTACACATTGTAGGGGACACAAAAAATTGAATAACCGAAATCCTCTTCTATCACCGTACCACGATAGAATGGCAAATCATTGTCATATTTTGAATTTGTATAATTCTTGCGAATTTCTGGGTTTTCAAAAATTGAAATTATGTCACGGAAATTTTGAGATGCTTTTGGCAAGGCTTCCGATTTTATGTTTATTAATTGCCTTCGCATTTTCCCAAATTCAACCAAATGAGCAGACTCTTTAGCCACTTTGCAATTCTCATCATACACTTGACGAACACTTGATCTTTTCAATGACATTCTATTAGCGCATTCGAATTTTATGGAATTAATTAAACTTAATTTCTTTATAAATTCATTTTGGGCCTCATGGTTGTGCACCAAGTTTTTATTTGTTTTGCGGCAATGTATTGCATTATTCAAATCCACGGCAATATTGACAGGACATCCATTTTGATAACAATTATAATATTTTGTATTATTTTGAGAATATTTAAAATTGAATAATGAAGTGTAATAAAGCCTTTTTTGAAATAAAGGCCTTATTTCACAAGGCGCTATTGCACCCTGTCGTTTTTATATCGGAAACTTTTTTATTTAAATAAATAAATATCTTCATGAATTTCCGCATGATTTATTCTCCGAGGCAGCGCTTCGAAGAAATTGTTGAGATCGCATCAGGTATCATATAGTTATCATATAAACTAGCCGATCAAACTCAAATTTGTGTGTATTTGACAAGGTATCCAAAATGAACTTCGAATTTTCGGTTAACGGTATTCTAAGGATCTAGAGCTTTTTCTTGCAGTTGTCCGAAAGAAACTTTGCGACACTAATACTGGTATCGGGAACTGAAAAATTATACTTTCTCGATATTCTTATATTTTTATTAAGTTCTTGGTATTGTGATAAATATGCAATTTTTCCCTTTATTATCAGAAATGTGCTGTATTTCCAACAACCAGACCGCCATTCGCCCAAAATGATAATTGAAATACCAAGCATTAGAGGAAAATGCTAAACCGATATGCAGATGCTTAATTCCGCCAAATCAATCAGTTTTAGAAATAAATGTTATGTGAACTGCTAAAATATATATTTTCCATGGAGGCACTTGCTAACCAGCAATCGCGTATATACATATCTAAAAAGGAGGATATGTGTTTCAAAATTGAACCGGAACATTCAACGAAAATAATCAAAGAAATGGTGTCCTTTACTCTGTATTCAGCAAAAGCGTTCTATTTGCTGCGGCACTCGCTCAATCACCGCATGCTTTGCCTTTCATCTGCCACTCATTTTGTTTTTGTATACTTAATTGCCTGTCGTTGCAGCTATTTTTAAATGAACATCAACTGAAGCGAAAGTTTTTCAAATTTTCCACGTCACTCCACGGCGGCCAACAACAACAACCACAAAAAACACCGCTCGCACATCTGTATTGGCTTGTTTGTGTATTGTGTCCGCATTGTATGTAGTTGTTTTTGTTGCTCAAAAGTCGAATAGGCTGCTGCGGTAACTGGTGTGAAGTGGAGCCAAAAGGACGAAAGTGATGAGTGCCAACGAAATTTGAAAACATTTAGTTGGGATTATTGATTTATGGTTTTCTAGCACATACATATATGTTTATATATATATTCGGTATTCTTTTTGAACGCATTGTATTTCTACACAAATAACGGCACTTAAAAATAAATCTCTGTTTTTGTGCAGTTATTAATAATTTTTGTGTGGATCTTGCGCATTGGCAGCGTTCTTTATCCAGGTGTTGGTGTTAGAAAATTCGAATACTTTCGTTTTTCAATTTAAATCCATGAATAAGCCTTCGATGTAAACGTAGACTCATGCAAATATGCGAGAGGTTTAATGATAAATATATTTGCTCGCAAACCATTTTTAGTTCAGCATTTAATTAATATCATTATAATATTTTAAGGTCGCATTAAGTCCAACTAAAAGGCGCTTTTTCCAATCTATATTGGTATTCAATGGTTTGCAAAATATATCTCAGGTAAAATCGAAAAAGATTGTAGTTGTGATTCGGTTAACATAAGTAACAAAGGTATCCTATTCATATGTTTTAGGTAATAAATCGATCAGTTTTATTAAACTCAATTATAGATATTGTAAAGGAGTTGGAAAATATTTTTGTATTATGAAAAAATGCAACATTCATATAATGTTGTCATATAAAGAGGTAAAATATTTTCTTGAAAAAAATTTAACTTTATTAGTCAGTTGTTTATATCTCTTTCAGAGCCAATTCTGTTCACAACTAATCAGGCGATGTTGGCGATGGACTTCAATTCTACATCCAATAAGCTTAATGTCACCTTATATGTAACAATAGCCGACTGATTCCATGTCATGTCTTAGATTTGATTCGAAAGTTCTAAGAAATATTTTTTGGTAGGTAGGTAAGGAGGATGTCTTTCGTCGCAATTAACCTTTTAGCAGCGCTTGATCACATCACTATATTTCATAAATTATTGAACTTCTTTTATGTGCAACTACCGAGACATCGTCGAGTTGCAATTCATTTTCTACACAAAATCAATCCAGAAATTAAGGCTCTTTTTTCAGTGAAACCTGAAGAGACTTTAGTGACTCCAAAACTGATTGCTTTTCCAATTGCATTGATCTCCGCGTATAAAACACTGCAGTAGTAGTCACAAGACGATTACGGTATTTAATTTCACTGAAAAGATAACACCTTCCCCTTGATTATCTAGTTTGGACTAATTCTATTCATGTCTAACTAACACCTATCCCACGTCTCTCTGGAAAATCCGCGATAAGGGTAGAAACAGAGACTTACTAAGCAGATGACTCATAGGGAGGATTTCCCCAGTCTAAGAGCTGGCTTCGCTGGTTGTTGCTTACAGCAAATGTCTGCAGTAAAGACAAAGTAAGTGCTTGACGTGCTAATAATCGGCCTTAGAACTCCTGTGTAGAACCAATGAGTTACACGAATGGGTTAATCCCTATTTGGGCCCCACCATCTTTTAACAGGTGTAAAATGTTGAAGCTTTTTTGATTTCCATGATAGTTTCCTTTCTAAGTTAGTTCCAAGTAGCTAGATTTCTCTCGTATTATTAGCTTGGTACCATTTATTGTTTGCTGCTTGACTTCTGCAATTCGATGTTTCCTTGTGAATAATACTAGCTTAGCATTAAGTTTAGTCTGCACGATACAGTCCATCGATTCGTGTCGTTTTTTTCATATTTTTTATACGAATATTTTAAAGTGATAGAAGAGGATGGAGTCATGTGTAGAAGTTCACGCAAGTGAGGAATGTTTTCTGATCGCCATTCACTTGGGAATGAGCCAGAAACGATTCTTTCACATATGACTCAAGCAGCTCACGACTTCCAGCCTTTGACCAAGTATCCTCTGGGTAGCGTATGAACTTCCGTTTGAAGGCGAGCCTAAAGTGAGAAGCCGAAATATCACCTACATAGGGTTGTGCGCTGGGTTTGGGACCTGCCACGTAAAAAAACACCTCCAATGAAAAATTTTCAACAGCCTCGGATGAGAGCGCAAGGTTGCTGTTGGATTTGTGGTGGGAGAGAGACTCCGTCGCCGAGTACTATCATTCACTCCGGTGAATGAACGTCTAGCCACAATCCGCATCAAAGCGAGGTTCTTTAACATATCGCTGATTTGTGCCCACGCCCCGACGGGAGAGAAGGACGATGTGACCAAAGATGCCTTTTATGAGTGCTTGGAACGCACTTATGAGAGCTGTCCCCGCCACGATGTCAAAACCGTGCTTGGCGACTTTAACGCCAGGCTGGGCAAATAAGGTGTCTTTGGCACTACATCACACTGCCTGGCTGTCTCCTGATCGAAAAACCACCAACCAGATCGATCACGTTGTGATAGACGGAAGACACGTCTCCAGTG